CTTATATTACCCACAAACTTGGCAGATGGCAGACAATGTGGAAGCAAACGATCAAGTAAGACGCCGACGAGGACGTACGTCCAGCTCGCAATCAAGGCGTTAATCGCGGTAGACCTATTCCTGTTGAGGAGTTGCCAAGACCAGTCGGAAACCAGATTCTTGAAGAATTAGGAAGGCTTAGAAGAACGCAACCAAATGAGCGAATATATTTGTTATCTAAGTTCAGAAAGCAAAGACCGCCGGTGTTCACAGGTGAGCCTGACCCGACAGTCGCTGAGAGCTGGATTCATCAAATAGAAAAGATGTTGGAAACCATGGGTATTACGGTGCATGCAGACAAGATCGCCCTGGCAAGTTATCAGCTAGAAGGAGAAGCAGATCATTGGTGGTCCTTGATGAAAAACTCTCGGGACACGACAAGCATGACTTGGGCTCAGTTCAAAGAATTGTTTCTAAGAAAATATTTCCCAAACACAGTTAGACAAGAGCGAATTTGGCAATTTCAAACTTTGAAACAAGGTGAGATGTCAGTGACTCAGTATGTGGCCAAGTTTGAAGAGCTGGCTCGATACGCAACCCGATACGTCGCAGATGAGGGAGAGAAAGCACGAAAATTCGAGTGGGGTTTAGACCCAATTATCAGAGGTAAAGTGTTACTCTTGTGTCTTCCTACATTTATTGATGTGGTGGATATGGCATTGGATGCAGAAAGAGAGTGGGCAGACTCAAAAAGGATTTGGATGATGAAAACGAAGAAAGGGGGTTAGTCCTTTGTAGGGCCAAGAAGAAATGACCGAAGGAATGTGGTACAGACACCTTACACCAGACCGTCGCAACAGCCGCAACAGCAAAGCCAGAAAGGAAGTTTACAAACCAAGCCTATTACACAAATCCAATGCTTTCACTGTCACCAGATAGGGCACAAGAAGTCAGAATGTCCCCAACTTTCTGGGATGGGAAATCAAGCAGGGGGTTCAAGCGCGAATGCTCAAGTTATTGGCGGGCAAAAGCCATGGACGAACAAGTCAGGAGGAAACCGAAAGGTTGGACCAACCGGTAATCAAAAAGCCACAAGCAGAGTTTTTGCTCTCCAAGAAGAAGATAATGATGATCCATCAGTAATTAGATGTAACATTGTACTCTATAATTCTTGGGTTCACGTTCTATTCGATTCTGGCGCATCACATTCTTTTATATTAACATCATGTGTTAAATTATTAGGTCTTAAATGTGAACATTTAGAAACTACTTTACGTGTTGCATCACCCTTGGGAGGAAGTATTAGGGTAGGATTAATCTGTCGAGGGTGTGAATTAGAAGTGTCAGGGTTACACTTGAGTTGTGACCTTCGGGTCATGAACATGTCCGATTTTGACATAATCTTGGGAATGGATTGGTTATCCGCCCACCGAGCAGTGATTGATTGCTACCACAAGAGGGTGACGATTTGCACACCTAGTGGAACGTGTTTCCAATTTAAGGGGGATAGAGAGGATTCCCTGAGCACGACACATCGTAAAATGCAGTGGCGTCGACAATTTCCTGGATGGTTAGCAAGTTTGATCATTAATGAAGAAGCTCAATCGGACTTAAATCTTCCACGTGTAGTTTGTGAATACGCTGATGTTTTTCCTGAGGAATTGCCAGGATTACCGCCACATCGTGAAGTAGATTTTAGTATCGAGTTACAAGCGGGTACTGCACCAATATCCCTGACACCCCACCGTATGGCTCCTGCCGAACTTCGGGAGTTGAAGACGCAACTGAGTATAAGGCATAAAATGGATTTATCCGACCAGGCTATGCAAAGCATGCTTGGGGCGCACCAGTTCTATTGCAAAGAAAAAGGACGGAACACTAAGATTGTGCATAGATTATCGACAACTCAATCGGGTGACGATCAAGAACCGATATCCACTTCCATAGATTGATGACCTTTTTGACCAACTTCGAGGTTCGAAGTGTTATTCAAAGATTAATCTTAGATCTGGCTATCATCAATTGCGGGTCGCTGATGATGACATACCAAAAACTGCTTTCCGAACCCGTTATGGCCATTACGAATTTGTGGTGATGCCCTTTGGATTAACCAATGCACTAGCTGTGTTTATGAGCTTGATGAATAAGATTTTTACTCCGTACTTGGACCAGTTCGTGGTGGTGTTTATCGACGATATTCTAGTCTATTCACCGTCGGAAGAAGAACATGAGCAACACTTGAGAGTAGTTCTCCAGGTTTTAAGAGACAACCAGCTGTACGCAAAAGCAAGTAAATGCGAGTTCTGGTTGAAGAAAGTCACATTTTTGGGACACGTCGTGTCAGAGCATGGAATCACTGTAGACCCGGCCAAGGTAGAAGCAGTATTAGATTGGAAACAGCCAACTTCAGTATTCGAAGTTCGTAGTTTCTTAGGGTTAGCCGGCTATTACCGACGATTTATTCAAGACTTTTCTAAACTAGCTAAGCCGATGACTCATCTAACACAAAAAGGGGTAAAATACGATTGGAACGAAGCATGTGAACAATCCTTTCAAGAACTCAAGAGCAGATTGACTAGTGCCCCAATACTCATCATTCTGGAGCGAGACATAGGATATACGGTATATTGCGACGTGTCCAAGGATGGGCTAGGCTGTGTGCTAATGCAAAAAGGGAAGGTAGTGGCTTACGGCTCCAGGCAACTGAAACCGCATGAAAAGAATTATCCGACACACGATCTAGAGTTAGCAGTAATGGTTTTTGCGTTAAAGCAGTGGCATCATTATTTGTATGGTGAACAATTTGAGATTTTCACGGACCATAAGAGCTTGAAGTATTTGTTCACGCAGAAGGACTTCAACATGAGACAAAGACGGTGGCTAGAATACCTCGAAGATTACCATTTTACTCTCTCCTATCATCCTGGCAAAGCTAACGTGGTGGCGGATGCCCTGAGTCGCAAGAGCCGGGGAATTATTGCTAGCTTGGCACTCAAGGAATGGAACATGGTCGGAACACTTAATGAGTTTGGAGTACAGATGAAAGCTCAGGACGAGAAAGCATACCTTGGCACTCAAATTGCTACACCCAAATTACTGAACGAGGTAATAGAATCACAGAAGTATGATCAGGAAGTGGCATTCATAAAAGCGCGAATAGCATCCAGCGATCCTATACCTGATTGGATGATTCATTCAGATGGAAGTTTGAGACATCAGGGTAGAGTGTTTGTACCACAACATGAGTCGCTGAGAGAAAAAGTTCTGAAGGAGTTCCACCATTCGGTGTTCGCAGTGCACCCAGGAGGGACGAAAATGTACCAAGACTTAAAACGCCAACATTGGTGGAGCAGAATAAAGAAAGATGTGGCTCAATTCGTAGCCAGATGCCTTACGTGTCAGCAAGTAAAGGCAGAACACCAGCGACCTGGAGGGATGCTTCAGCCCTTGCCAATATCAAAATGGAAATGGGAGCATGTAACAATGGACTTCATCACTGGGCTACCCAGGTCACCGAGAGGATATGATGCTTTATGGGTTATAGTTGATCGTTTGACGAAAACTGCACACTTTTTGCCATATAAAATCTCCGACACTTTGACATCGCTGAGTCATCTCTACATTAAAGAAATTGTCCGATTACACGGAATTCCTATATCAATCGTGTCCGACCGGGACCCGCGTTTCACCTCCCGATTCTGGGGAAGCTTACAGGAAGCATTAGGGACCGAATTATGTTTCAATACCGTATTTCATCCTCAAACTGACGGACAGTCAGAACGTACCATTCAGACTTTGGAGGACATGTTGAGAGCTTGCGTGATGGATTTTTAAGGGAGTTGGGAGCGACACCTACCGTTGGTAGAGTTCACATACAACAATAGTTTCCAGGCTAGCATTGGCATGGCTCCATTCGAAGCACTGTACGGTCGGCCTTGCAGATCACCAATTTGTTGGACTGAAGTTGGAGAAGTGAGTCTATTGGGTCCAGAGATTGTGCAAGAAACTACAGAAAAGGTGAAACTTATTCGACAAAGATTAGTGGCAGCTCAAGATCGTCAGAAGAGTTATGTAGATAAAAGGAGAAGACCACTAACATTCGTTGTTGGTGACTATGTTTTCCTGAAAATTCAGCCCCGCCGAGGGATCATTCATTTTGGAAAGAAAGGAAAATTATCACCTCGATATATTGGACCCTTTGAGATACTTCAGAAAATCGGAGAGGTTACGTACAAGTTAGCTTTACCCCCACAGTTGGCTGGAGTACATGATGTTTTTCATGTATCTATGCTGCGAAAGTATATAATGCACCCTTCTCACATCATCAATTGGGAAGAAATCCAACTCAATGAAGACACTACCTTTGAGGAGGGACCAATAGCAATTATGGGCAGTCAAGAAAAGAACTTGCGAGGGAAGACAATTCACCTTCTTAAGATACTCTGGCGCGACCATGGTATTGAAGAGTTCACCTGGGAACGTGAAAACGCGATGTGGGCAAATTATCCACAACTATTTGACACGTAAGGTATGATCTAATTTCGAGGATGAAATTTATTTAAGGGGGATAGGTTGTAGAGACCCTAATTTTTTTTGTCATTACACTTGAAACCCCTGAGCCTTAGGTTAATAACATTTTAGCCCTAGTTCCGTAAAAGTCTGCGTAAGGGCCCAAGTAAATAATTTCTCCGTGTGTTACCATAATTAAATCATAGAACACCACTTTATGATTGGAACTATCCTAAAACTTGGTTTTATTTATTTTACCTCATAATCTCTAAATTAATTCACACATTTTATTTTTATTTCTATTTGTTTTGTTTTTATTGTTCTTTCATTTATTATTTATTTGAATAGAATACTATTGTGTATTTGAATATATACATAGTTTATATATATATATATATATAATATGTTGGTGGAAGAGTTAATTGGATAACAACAAACCAAAAATAAAAAAAACAAAAACAAAAAAAAAACAAATATCTAGATATTTAGTTCACTTAGCCATTAAGCTACCTTACATTATATAAATTGAAGGCTTGTCCAAATCCACTCCCACGTTTTTCTAAAGCCCAAGGAGAGGGTGAGAGAGGGAGAGTTGGCTCAAGGGAAGGGAGGTAGAGAAGTAAGAAGAAGAAGAAGAAAAAAGGGGAAAGAGAAGGAATTCTTGAAGGTTAGAACATATCTCTTCCTTATTTTCTCCAATCCTTTCATCATCTCATTCTATGGTCTAGTATGCCTCTTGTGTTACAAATTGATGGTAAATAGGGTGTTTTTGGTGTGTGTGTAGGTGTAGGTATGAAATAGTGTCATTGTCTTGCGAACTTGTGAAATTAGGCACTGCTGCAGCTTCTCTAATTTAAAGAAATATCAAATCTATCTAATTCTCAATTCTGAATTTATTGTAGGATATTTTATATGTTTAGAGCTTGTGATAATTTTATTAGCTCCTAATTGTGTGTTTTTAGGGCTTGGATAATTTGTTGAAAAATCTGGTCCTGAGTCTCTGAAAAACAGTCCACTTTTAGCAATTTTATAAAATTCTAGAAAAATCATCTCGTGTTGGTTCTTCTGTCAAAATTTCGAACTCTGAGTCCTCTTTCCAACAGAATTTATTTGAGTAAAAACCATCGGGTAGATTGAGAGAAAAGTTAGTTTCCCCAAAGGGTGACAAATCTGGGCAGATTTTCGGATATAGTCTGTAGATGTATTTGTGGAGGGGCTGTGCAACTTCTGAAAATTGGAACTGAAACTAGACAGATTGAATATTGTTTCTGTGCAATTTCAGCCCCTAATTTGGCCTAGACGTATTTTAACCAAAGCGTTCTTGTTAGCCCTGCAGAACCGAACAGTGCTGGAAATTGTGTTATATTATGTTATTTGTCTCTAAATGTTTCAAAGCCTTTTTAATGTTATTTTCTTGCCTTGCTATACTTATGAATGATGACCATGGACTATATTTCCTCTAGTATATTTTTCCCATACTCGTTTAAATGACCGAATTATCGAATGTGACTAACTTATCTAGCAAAAGATCTAATAAATGGGAAATGATAAGGGGTTGGCAATGGGTGACGTTTATCTTAGTGTTTTAGAACAATTTTATACATATGCATGACATGAATTAGGATGGGATTAATACCAAATGAGTTAAGTCTTGCGTAAGCAGTTTAGGCGAGCCCCTAGGTTGACCCGGATGTATTCAGACTCTATGCGGTGGTTTCAGGGTGTAAGCGAGCCCTAAGAACGAATTGGTATGGTATGTGCAGGGTGTAAGCGAGACCGAGGCACGATTTGGGTGTAAGCGAGCCCACTTTTTGGCCGTCCCTTTTGAGGTCCATCAATGCCACTAACAGGTAAATAACCGGGAGGTGGGCATGGGTGGTAAGGTCTGCAAAGTAGCAAAAGGGGGAGTTCTGAGTAGTCCGGTGTTTAATCTTGTGGTTGGGTAGAAGGATCTCTTTGGGGGGGGTTCTAAATGCCTAGTCTAACTACTAATTTATAAAACCTTAATGGAAGTATGTTATGTTATCTGATTTGTTTTGTGTATGATTGATTGATAGAAGATATGGGGGTGTGTGTGTTTTTATTGGGCATTCCAAGCTCATGGCGTGTCATGCCAGGTGAAGAAGCAGCTTACGACGGGGAAGGTTATCCCGAAGACAATCAAGATGAAGTTTTAGAGCCGTAGTTCACTTGAAAACTTGGACTAGTAGTTTGTTTTTGTGTTCTCTCTTCTTTTACCTTTTGGTTTGACAATGTTTGTAAACCTCTAGTGGAACTCAAATCAGTTATCTATGTTATAACTCTGCTTGTATGTGTATATTAACATATTGTGGTTATCTCTTTTGTTTGAGTTGTACTTTATATATTTCTCTTGCGGTCTCAAAATTTGGGGCGTGACACAACCACTGACACAACCCTCCCCGACAACCCATACAACCTAACCAAGACAATGATCGGCCCCCACCACAAACCCAAGCGCAAGACAACAATGCTCCCTCGGTTGGAGAGATGAGAGTCATTGCTGGCAGGCTTGCTTGCAGAGGACTATCCCGTTTTGCCCAGCACGCTGAACTCCAAAAAATCAGGTAGGGCTCCGACAAAGAAGTCGCGACATTGGATCGCCCCTTCAAACATCCCAAACAGTGGATGGAACCCATCACCTTTACGGAGGCCGATTGCACAGGCATCTGTTACCCTCATGACGACCCCCTTGTCATCTCTGCTCTTCTGTCCAACGACAAAGGTAGACGAGTGCTTGTCTGTCACGACCCAAACTCGCCCCTATGGGTTTAGCACCGTAACCAGCCAGTAATCCGAGATTACCGAAGGCCTGCTTAACAGTAAGACAGTAATACAGAATACAGGGGCTGGCGGAAGCCAAAACAGTAATAAAAGATGTCCAATGAGCTGTAGCAGTCTGTATGCAAAAAGACTTTTTAAAACACATACACAATCAATACCAAAATCGCATGTATAATATATACAATCATTCGGGACAGGGACTTAATCCCTATTAGAACAGTACAGTAGAACATCATTCAGTCTATACAGAACATAAACAAAAAGGAGGAAAACTAAAACACCCTAAGCAGCCTCAGCTTGAATAGTTCTGGAACCTCAAAGTGAGGCACAAAGGTTGGCTTGATAAAACAGGAGTTAAGCTTGACGCCCCTAGCAACGGTCCGGTGCCTGAACACCTACATATATATATATATGAGCAGTGAGCTAAAGCCCAGTGAAAAACATATGCGTAAAGAAGTTAAGAATGAATGTCCTTTCAGTATTGAAAATAGTCATTTATCAGTATAACAGCTATTCAGAAACTATAATAGTCATATGTGGTACATCCAATAGCAAAATAGTACAGTAGGTCTTAACAGACCGAGCAGTCAATGATGGCCATCAGTAATGGTTCCAAGCATGGGAACCGACAGAGATCTCTGTAACAGTAGCAGTAACAGTTCAGTAACAGTAAATTGCTATGGATGCCACGAATACAGGTCACAAATAGGACAAACATTCATTTAATAAACAGTGTCATTTCATAAAGCAGTACAGTCATTTGCTCAGAAAATAATCTCAATTGAACATATCTTTACAACATTGTTACTCACAGAGTTCTGGGCTACAGGTAAGGTAGTACGCGTCTCCAGATGCCAACCCTACACAGTTACAGAGTGAACACACACTAAGCTACACAGTTGGGAAAATAATAACTTAATCCCTAATTTGCCTCGGTGTGGTTCTACATCAATATCCTTATTAAGATGCCTTAAACTAGGCCTAAGAATGCCTAGAATGGAATAAGGATGCAAAGATGCACTTTAAAAACATTTTCAGAATTTTCAGAAAACAGAGTTCCCGCTCGAGCGTGTGTTTCCCCGCTCGAGCGGACATGCAAACAAAAGGCTCCGCTCGAGCGTAAACTTTCCCGCTCGAGCGGACTGCAAAAGTACTGGATGTGTGAAAATCACGCTCGATGGGCGCTCGACACCCGCTCGAGCGTGTGACACAAGTCCTCGCTCAAGCATGCAAAACCCCGCTCGAGCGGACTGAAAACACAACAAAAGTGCTGGATACACGAATTTCCCGCTCGAGCGCCATTTACCCCGCTCGAGCGGGAGTCCAAAATCTGGAATTTCCAGATTTGAACCTCAAGCTCAAAATCAAGTTTTAATGCATCAAATTCGATCCTCTTGGGCCAATTTTCTGGAAAACACTTGTAAATTCATAGTTTAACATGATTCAAAGCTCAATTTGTAAAATCAAGGCCCAAAGGTGAGTCAATTAAACCCAATTTAAACAAATTCCATGAACATGATGTAAAACATAACATGTATGAATTAAATCAACCTCAAAGCTTCTAATTCAAGAACAAATGAGCCAACCCTTTAAAAAACATGAGGAATTCATGGACTATAACAATAATATGGACATGCATGCAAGAATTTCCATGACAACAACTTTAAACTTCAAGATATGCACATGCATGCATGGATTAAGCTCCAATTCAACATTATTAGACTAAATCAAGACTCAATTCATCCATAAATCAGGAACCATGCAAGAACTAACTTGAATACATTAATGAGAGGTTAAATATCCTACCTTGGGTTCTCAATTACAAGTCTAGAAGCTCAATTTGCCAACTATCTTCCAAAATCCCTAAGCCTCCAAGCAAATCAAGATGAAACCAAGTTCTTCTCCTAGCTCTCTCTCTCTAGTCGGCTAAGTCTAAGAAAAATGGGCTGATGAAGTGTTGTAATGCTAGCATTAGAGATCAACTAAGAGGCTCATGAAAGTCCACTAAGTGGCATAGTTGTAAATAAGGCCAACTCTTGTAATTTAGCTTTATTAAATCTAATTTAATCATACCAAATCACATTTCAATTAAATATAGCATAAAATCACATAAATCTTAATTAGCACAAAACATCAATCAATTTCAGATTCGGCCGCCGATAAGGCCTTTAATTTGCAGTTTAAAGTATAAAACATGAACAGATAATTTAACAGTCAACAGATAGAATTGCATTCAAACTAGCACAATCAATCAATCAGTTTAGTAATTCAATCAGTCAGTCAATTAACATGCTTAATCATAGATTAGCACTAATCAGTAGTGTTATCAGTAAACAGTGGTGAGGGTTGTCACAATGTCGACAATGGCAGCTCTTCAGACATCATCTTCCTGAACGCCTATCACAGCTCAAGGTCGTGGAAGAAAGATTGTCCCCTCTCCAAACCCCACTGGTCGGCTTCACGGGGGATCGGGTGACCTCCATAGGCTCCATCGATCTCCCCATCACCATCGGAGAATATCCAAGGCAGACCACCAAGTTACTCACTTTCCTTGTCATCGATTGTCCCTCTGCTTATAACATCATCCTCGGCCGCACAGCCCTTAACGCTTTTCAAGCTTTCACATCCACATACCATCTAGCCATAAAATTCCCTACTGTAGACTCGACTTTCTTCTCGCGCCCCCCTTTCGGAGAGGCGCGAATTGGTCTCCTACAGTTTGGACTCCTGTCACAGTTCTAAATCTAATCTCACAAAGTGCAATATGAGACTGATAAACACCAAAGAGTCCAATTCAGCAAATCATTTTGAAAAATCATATTTTGAATCAAATAATGCCAAAACTAGACTATTTTTCCAGATTACAGAGTCGCCACCTAAATATTTTATTTTGGAAAATTTTGGAAACCCTGACTCATGCCAAAGGCCACGTGTCCGTCATCACCAAAGTTGCCTCGGCTCGGGAACTTGGGTACGAGAGGGGAAGGTCATGAAATGAGCACCCCCGCTCGCCCGATCAAAGGATCGGTCTCTACTAACTTGATATGTTGTTTTATAAACACATGTGTTCTTATTCCGGTTATTAGCTAACTTTACTATGCGATGCGCACAGCATAGAAGTATAGACTCAATCACGAGAATTGGAACAAAACAACTCATGTTTATTTTTGAAAATGGTTTGAAAGTGCTACTTGCAAGTAGGCTAAAGCGCAGATTTGCCACCCTCAAGTGGGCTTAAAACATGATTTTGCCACTTCGCAAAGTGGGCTTAAAACTCACAATCATCGAGTTGTTCCAATTCAAGCAATCAAGCCTCCATCTACAAGCATTCATGCAGTTTAACACATAAGCAAATAGCCTCATGGCAAGCATGCTATCATGGCAACACTCACACTCATGCAAGTATGCTAAAGCGTAAACACTTACAGTGTACTCCGAGCTAAAACAGAAAACTAGTTAGAAACAATGCATGATTCCTAACTACATGCAAAAATGCAACTAATAGGCTCGGCTATCTAAGATGGCATATGAATGCGACAATTTGATACACATATTCAAATAGGTATTGAAATACGATGCAGTTTGAGTGATGCGTCGAGCCCGGTGCATGCAATACAAATGAATGATGCACGCATGCAAGCATAAGGATGCTAATAAAAAATGACCCTAAACTAACCATCGAAAGCGGTTAAGTAAAAGGGAGAAAGAAGTGGGGTTGGAAGACATGCACATACGCATGCACACTTATTACAACATTGTGCCCTCTCGAAAGAGGGTCTGAATAAATAAGCTAAGCTAATCTAAGCTAAGCGAATTATTACAAACCAACTAATTAACTAACTTAGCTAATTAATTACAAACCAAATGAAATTAAAAAACTAGCTAATCTAAGCTAATATTACAAAGATGAATTAAATTAGCTAAACACATTAACTAATTGATTATAAAACTGGTAAATTTACTAGCTATGTAAAGCAGTAAAATGGCCTTGAGGGGAAGGAGACATGCATGTTCGGTTTGCTTCGCCCGAAAACGCATTGCCTTGCCATAAGTTGCCTCTGTTTACAGTCGCGATGATCTTAGAACATCATATGAACTTCTAGATTGCATCTGCCCTAACACAAGAACACTTTGGACAATTTTTCTGCAAGTGGCCGGCCGGCCGCCTCAACTGGTCGGTAGGCTACCTCAACTGGCCGGCCGGCTAGTACAAGTGGTTGGTAGGCTAATGCATGTGGCCAGCCGGCCACTTCTCTTTTCAGAACTATGCCTTTGCTGCAACAGAGAGCAACAGAGCCAAGACAATGTATTTGGTAAGAAATGTATGTACTACCACCCTCCTCATCATGTCTCAAGCTCAAAGGAGTGCGGCGCTCGGCTTTCAAGCCACCAACCAAGCATCTCAATGCATGATGGCCGAAGAACCAAGCTTGCACAAGCTTAGTGAATGAGCACATAAGACTCAACATGCCTCCACCCTATCATGCTTGATCAAGGGTATTGGCGACTAAGAAATGCAGCACATTTCATCATTTTGAGTATGAAACGTCTCACATTTCTTGT